TAGACGGAGGCCCAGAACGATGAGAGTTGTTGCGGGAAAAATGTCCGGGGGAAGGACCAGTGCGAGAGGCACGGGCAGGGTTGCGGAAGCAATCATGCTGGAGATGACCAGGACCAGTCTTGTTGCAAAACCGACAAAGACGAACTGGACAATTGACCAGAAGATGAGTCGACGGAAGATTGCGGTTGTGACAGTAGTTGCAGATAGGTGTTTTCTGTGGGGAAGGTGGTGAAGGAGAACTTCGAAGCTGGGGAGTAGCAAGAACAGAGTCCACAGGGTGGGGATGGAGAGTACCAAACCTGGTTTCCTCTGACAGGAGTTCAGAAATTGCTTGCTCAAGAGTGGGTAAAGGAGTGCGATGAAGGAGAGAGGCGCAGACTGGCTCAAAACGGGGAGTGAGAGCCATGAGAAAGTGAACCAAGCGTTGTTGGTCACGGTAAGTAGTGAACAAGGCAGCATCCTCAGTACAAGCCCATGGAGGTTCAGAGAGAGCGAGCTGATCCCAAACAGAATACATTTGTGAGAGAAAATCATTAATGGTTTGAGTGGTGTCTTGGCGCATACGGTGAAGATGACTCAGAAGCTGATATTGGTGAGCAAGGCCAGTAGTCTGGTAGCGTTCTCGTAAAAAATCCCAGATGGCTTTGGCTGGAGAGGAAGCAGAGTCAAGTTGGAATCGACCAAACTGAAGGCTGATAGAAGTAATAGAAATATTACGGAGCCAAGTGATGATCTGATAGTTTTTACTATCCCAATCCTCCAGACGGTCAACATATTTAGCAGCGGAGTCTGTGGTGGCAGCGGATTCGGTGGTGGCTGGGATGGGTTTGCACACATCCCCAGTGATGATGCGCCAAAGTTTCTTTCCTTTGAGGAACCCAGACATAGCTTGTGCCCATAAGACATAGTTTGTTCCGTCAAGAACAACAGAAATAGGGTGGTTAGAGGAGTCCAGGCGATCCATGAGAAAAAAAGCAGTACTATCGAAGCCGAATTTGAAAAATCTGAGGTTACCAGTGAATTCAGAGGGCCGAAATCAGTGGGAAATGAGTGAACGGACCAAAAAAAAGATGACCAGAAGGCACTAATTGGGCTGGTCAAAGTTGGTCAACAGTACTGGTCAAAGATGACGTCACAATCTGGTCAAAGATGACGTCACTGCTGTGTCACAGGGCGGCGCACGTAAGCACAAAGAGGCGCGGAGCACGTTAGCAGAGGAACCAGGCAGCGCACGGAAGCACCAGGGCTGACGTCAGCTGACGTCAGAAACACGCGGCTCACGTTAGCAGGTGAGGCCGCGGCGCACGATAGCACGGGGCAAGTGTGAGGCGCGTAGAGCGCGTCTGAGCAGCGAGGCAGCGCGTGGACTAATTTTCTTGCGGCGCGTGGCGGCGCGTGGAGCGTCGGATGATGATGAATGTGGTGGCGTTGGATTCGTCGTGAGGAGACGAAGGTTCTGGTGTGGTCCAATCTGTAATTTAGATAAGGACGAGATATGCAACCAATCTGCTCAAAATAAAAAATTTGATGCAGCAGAGGAAGAGACTAGGCAGTATACCTGTGCTCTGATACCATGAAACAAATAAGAGATTGATATTGACAGAGTAAGAAAACTCTTGTATTGATTGTGTCTAACAATGCAAGAAGAGACTCCATTTATAGGAGCTGGTGTATACAACATCATGATGAAAGAAACACATAAAATATTAAAAGTAGCCGAAAGCAGCCGAAAGGAAGGTATGCTCTGGCATCCTAACCTATTAATATATTAGTATGATTGTGTTGATATGTTTAATATATACGTTATTATAATTAATATAATACAGTAAATATAATATACATTAACAAGAAAAAACTACACCAAATAATATTTGACTTAAAACATAAAAATAAGTTGCACCTAAGAACGAAACGGCCGCTTTGTTTGGTAAAGTTTATGCTTATAGTTTTTTTTTTATTATTTTATTTTCACAATCCATGTTAGATCATTCAACGTAGTTTTTAATTACAATTTATTGGATAAAAATAAGTTAAATAATCTAAAAAAATAATTATATGAAAGTTAGATGAGATGTGGTTTTGGGTTCTAACTTTTTAATTATCAATTTTTTTTTTTGATAATCGGGTGTCCGAACTTGCTTATGCACATCTCAATTAAATTTTGAGATCCTATAGTTAACGCCCGAACAAACTTCCCACCATCCCAAAGTTTGAGATGTTTGGCTTTCGTGAGTTTTGAACTTACGACCTCTTTGTGAGTTTTGAACCCAAAATCTTAAAATTAATGATCAGACAAATCTCTAGTGACCCCAAGATTTAGGATGTTTGGCTTTCGTAGATTTCGAACTTGCAACTTCTTCCATGGTAAGTCCTTTGATTGCTTTCTTCATCCATTAAGTCAAGCCTCTTAGGGTTTAATTAATTATCAACTTTTAATCTATTTGTCTATATTGTAGCTTATTTAAACCACAAAATTATTTAGTGAGGTGAATAAGATTCAAACTCAAAACCTTCTATCCAAGAAATAACATATTTACCACTAATACTATTATACTTTTAGATTAAAATTGAAATTCATATTTTATTACTTGAGAGGCACACATGCATGTGTGTATTAAAATTAAAATCAAAATTTATGTATTTTAGATTTAACAGCATATCTATTGGGTGGGTAGACACCACTAATACTATATGTTGGTTTTTTTGACTTTCAAATGTTAGTATTGTAATTTTAAGCATGTCAGTAAGGATTAATCAGTCCTTATAGAAAATTAATTGCCAACTAATTATCAGACGATTGTGTTTTAGTTATTTCAGCCTCAATGAAGAAGACTTTTACTGGTGACTTGTTTAGGAGAATTTAGTAAACAACAATTAAATGAAGAACAATTACAGCATTTCATTAAGTAAAAATGAAAAACTTACAATAATCTAATCCAGCCTTGTAGAGGTTTACAACAACAAGCTATTCGAAACTACTCCTATGAATAATGTGCAATACAAGAATTTGAAGTGTAGATATGTAAAGAACAAGAAATGTAAAAACTGGAATGAAAAAAAAGTAGATAAAAACTGATTTCTGGATCTGAGTCATGTCCTTATTTCTAGGGCCTTCACTGCTATTTATACTTTTCAATGACAACTGTTGAAATAGGCTTCTAACCGTCGAAGCATCCCTCCATGATCGCTGATCATGCTCTCTCACAGTTAGCTCCATTATGCCATGTTTGCAGTTAGGTTTCCCTCCTGATTTTGAATTTGAATTTTGTGAGTAACCATTAGGCCACATCACCTTATATCTTTCGATCATTCCAGTGCTACGCAAACCTATTATTACCAGTATGAGTTGACACGTATCTGACTATGGTTGGCGATTTATATTACCTTCCCAAATTATCCTTCTCATACCACGTGTTGAATCGTGATTGACTTATACAATTTATACAACTAACACTATTATACTATTATAGAGGAAAGATTTGAAATGGTGTTATTCTGATTTATGTTAATATCCTCCTAACCTATTTAAAATATATATATTTTTTTTTGATTATAGGAAAATTCTCCCTGCCCTCCAACAAGTCCAAGGCAATTTATGTAAGGGGTAGGGTTTTTTGAACGAATATGCAGGGTAGGCCGAGACTCTAAACTCAAACCTTTAATTACACAGGCGTCTGTTGAGAGGAAGTTAAAAAAGCCAATCTTTTAGCTTTTTTACACAAAAAAAAAAAAAAAAAAAAAAAAAAAGTTAGTTCTTTTGGTCAAAAAAGCCAATTTTTTTGCCAAAAAAACTACCCAAAAAAAAAAATTAATTAATTAATTAATTTTTTACTAATTTTTCAAAACACTCCACAGTATGTGTTTTTTTTTTTGTGGATAAATTATGTAAATAATTTATGTAATCTATATGATGTGTTAATTTAGTCTTTATTATTTTAATTTATTTGATTTTGTTATTTAATTTAACAAATTGTGTCATATTAGTCGAATAAATAATAACCGTTAGGTTTGGTGGACGAAAACTCAAATAATATGTCAATTTAATCTTTGTAGTTTAGACGATGTGTCCATTCAATAGAGCAAATTAAAACAATATGGACTAAATTGACAAATCGTATAAACTATAAGGTCCAAATTGATATATCATTTAAGCATATGATAACTTTCCATCCACAAAATTTAATGTCTATTATTTATTGAATTAATATAACACAATCTATTAAATTAAAAAATAAAACCAAACAAATTAAAATAATAAAAATTAATTTAACACATCATATAAACTAGGAGTACCATTTGTATAATTTACCTTTTTTTTTGAACGCCACACCACAGCACGTATATTTTTAACCAACTAGTTTAAAACAGATTTAACTATGTGAGTGTTTGAGAAGTTATTTTAATATGTTATTTTAATTTTTGGTTATTTTAGAAAGTTAAAGTTTTTATATTTAAAAAGATAGTTGTAAGAAAAAAAAGTGAAATAATTATGAATTTAATGTGATATTTTATCTTATTAATTATTTTAACCTATTTTATTTTTTAGTATTATTTTAACTGAAAAAAATTCTTTCCAAATAACCCAAATAAGGCCAAAATGATGAAATACTTACAAACTATCAAACTGTTTTCCTTTTTCAATACAATTGAATAATTTTTAAAGACCTTAAAAAATTCATTAAAATATTTATTAAGCCTCCGTTTGGGAAGCGGGTTAATTTTTTAGCTTTTTGATTTTTTTGACTACTTTAATCTGGGTTAAAAAATTTAGTTTGGGAAGGACTTTTTAACTTTTTGAATTTTTTAACTTTTTTTATAAGAGAAGAGTATAATGATTATAAATTAAATGTGATATTTTATTTGTTATAACTAAAATAATATATTTTATCTTTTATGACTATTTTAACCATCCCAAACAACACTTTAGTATCTCGTATGGCGTGGAACTCACGTCATGTGAATCCGCAGTAGGACCACACCCATAAAACTGGATGTTTACACATGAACGATAAAGTAATTAATACACATTGGGAAACTGGATGTTTTCTTTCGAAAGACCATGGCAGTAGGAGAAGGAGAAGGAGATCATCACACCCCTTTGTTGCACTCAACTCTACCTTCACCTTCTTCTTCTATTGAACCCTCGCTGAAACTTTCCTTCAAGAGAACTGGTTTGTCCCTCTCTCACTGCTTCCATTTTCTTACTTTCTTTTCTCTGTTTTTTTTTGCATTTGTTTTGTTGTTAATCTTCAAACCCAACTTCAGTATTTCCTATCATACTCTCTATTAAACCCTCCCTGTATTCAATACAAGAATTATGATTATATTTATTGATCCATTTTCTTTTCTGATTTTGATAGTTTGTATTTGGCAAATTCAAGAAATACCAAGATAAATGAATGTTATTTTTTTTTTCCCTTTATTTTGTTCTACCTGATTATCAAAACATGTACAACATTTTGGAAAGTTCAAGATATGACAAGATTAACAAATCATAGTATTAGATCCAGGGCACAGGGTACGAGTGAATAGCAGAAATAGTTTGGGGATTTAATTTTATTTATTTATTTACTTCATATACTAGATATAAGAGCAGCTTGGCCCAATTATAAAATTTGCCCTTAGCGTTCTGGTGTCTCGAACCCAAGTCACGAAACAACCTCTCCAAAAATGCAGGAAATGTTGCTCACATCTTTCCCTTTTCAAATATTGTTTTAGCAGAAGTCTTGTGTCCTGGTTTGGGTACAAATTTGGGCAGTAAACGAGCCGAGTTAAGCCGAGTAGCAAGTTGTCAGTTCATGGTTGGCTTGAAAACTTAATGAGTTTTAAAATGTGTTTAAGTTTGGCTTGTTTAGATAACAAACCAATCTTGAGCCTTTAACTAGCCAAACACGAGTCGAGCTCACGTAGCTTGATTGCATATATGCTTATTGAGCTAAGCAATTGGTTGTTCAACCTTGGCTTGAAAATTTAACAAAATTAAAATGTGTTCAAATTTGACTTACTTACATAATGAACTTAAACGAGCTTTTAACAAGCTTGAATAGCTTGATTTGTTTTGCAGCTCTAGGTACAAGTGAATAGCAGAAGTTAGTTTGGGTATTTTTTTAATGCATATAATAGTTACTTGAGCCTGAGTGGTGGAACAAGACATGGAGGAAATGCTGCCTACATTTTTTCCTTTCAGATACCATTTTAGCAGGAGTCTTGTGCACTGATTCACTTTTTTTCTTTTCTTTGTTATACATAGAATTGATGTGCTTATCACTTCCATGAATTTTTTTTGTTCTGATTCAGGGAACATATGGACTGCTTTTGCACACATAATAACAGCAGTTATAGGCTCTGGGGTTCTATCCCTAGCATGGAGCATGGCTCAGCTAGGTTGGATTGCAGGCCCATTGTCTATGCTCTTCTTTGCATCAATTACCCTTATATCTGCCTTCATGGTCTGCAACTGCTACAGATCTCCTGACCCTGAAAACGGCCCGGCCAGAAATCACTCCTACCTCGAAGCTGTTCGGACAATATTAGGTATCAATGTGGCTAACTTTTCATTACATCGAAAATTGAGATTCTACGAGTGTATTATATTATGCAATTTTAGTTGCAACCATAACCAAATTGGAAAGTAATTGCCATGTTGGTTTTGGACAGTTCAATCCAAATTGGTATATGAAAACAAACAAATAAAATAAAAAAATAGCCAACACCTAACATGGTTTTCTTTCATGAAACATGGTATCAATATCTATTATAGAGTTTGAGCTATCCCTGTATATGAACTTTTCCTTTGATCAAGTTCTGAATTTTCACATGAGAAATTGTTCAATCATAGTTGTGGGCAAACAATAGCAGATGAATTGTTTTCTGTTATTAAATCATAAACAGTTAAGACAGTTGACATTTCACCTGATTTTCTTCAGGAAAGAGGAATGCTTCGCTTTGTGGTATTCTTCTACGACTAAGCCTGTTTGAGAGCGGAATTGTTTTTACCATTACATCCGGGATCTGCGGGAAGTATGTTAATAAGCTTCCCAAATACTCATCATGACTATTTATTTTTATTTGTGTTTTGATCTGCAACGATAGAAATTTGATTAAAGAAAAAGGAAAGTAGGAGGAAAAGCAGGACGAGGAGTCCACCAAGGAAAGAATAAATGAAAGCGATAAGTACACAAATGGAAAAAATGCCACCTACAAATGTCACACCACACTCCAATCCCTAAAAAACAACACGGAATCCCCTTGAATGAATATCGGATTTGATTATCTTCACTATACAAAGTTTATATATGCCATTCAAGAAAAAATTATCCCAATGATACATATATGGATATCTGTTTGTCCAGGATTGGTGGTTTTAACGATATACTAATATGGTCTGCTGAAGTTACATAAATTTAAAAACTCTGTGGTTTTTTTTATCAATTGCAGTTGCTATTAAGTTTCTTGTTTATTTGATGTTGTGAACGGTTTCTTAATGGCTATTGTTTGAATCTTTTGAATGAGAGCAGAGCAATTCAAAGATCAAACTGTTGCCACAAAGAAGGGCATAATGCTGCTTGTGAATATGGAAACACTTATTGCTATTAAGTTTCTTGTTTATTTGATGTAGTGAACGGTTTCTTAATGGCTATTGTTTGAATCTTTTGAATGAGAGCAGAGCAATTCAAAGATCAAACTGTTACCACAAAGAAGGGCATAATGCTGCTTGTGAATATGGAAACATTTCTTATATGCTTCTATTTGGAATTATACAAATTGTAATGTCTCATATACCTGATTTCCACGGCACGGAATGGCTCTCAATTTTTTCCGCAATCATGTCCTTCACTTATTCTATCATCGGATCAGCACTTGGTTTGGCAAAGGTAATAGGTATGGTCAAAAGCATGCTCTACTGATTAGTCAAGTCACCTTAGTTGGCATTTCCGTTGACTCTCATTTACCATAGTGGAAAAAAGGGTGCTGGCAGTTTATATCCGAAGCACTTGAGAGTCCTTCAAATTTAATCATTTTGCAAGAGATTTTAGGTAGAAAACAATTTTGGGACCCCCTCTTAAAAGAATTTTAAAAAATAAATAAATAAAAATTGGGAAAATGTTTATGTTTAATTGTGATCTTGAAACTAATGTGCTAGTTGTTGTATTAGTAGTAGCTAAGAAGCACAAATATGGATATGGACACGGATATGGACACGTGACATGACACAAACACGCCAACACAAATTTTTTTCCAATAAATGTAGAACATGATGCGTGGGGGACACATGCAAAATATTTAATTTTATATATTTATTAATGTCATATATAAAGGTAAGTAATTAACATATGTAAATTGTATATATAGGAATATTTAAGTTAAAGATAACTTTAGAAGTCAAAAGGTGGAGAATAGGTATAAATTTACATTATTTTTTTCTATCATTCGATTCCGAGTTACTTTGTTCGAACTTGTAAAGTTTCATGTGTGTTTAAGTGTTGAGAAGTGGACGAGTGTCATGTTGTGTCAATGTCAGACACAACACATTATCTTTTTAGAAGTGTTTGTGCTTCTTAGAGTAGTGGTGGTGGTGGCGTGATGATGGCAGGGTGGTAGAGGTAGGGTGTGGTGGTTGGTAAGACTTTAGTGCTGAAATTATTTTCTATCTTGTAAAAGTAGAAAACATTTTCTGCACAAATAAGCTTGTTTTTTATTTACTACAGAAAATGTTTTCCGTCATACCAAATGTGAGAAAGAAAAGTTTTTCACCCAAATAAATGGAATGTTAGTACCTTCAAGTTGAGCTTTTTAACTTAAAATTGCAGGGGATGGATATATAAAGGGTGACATTGTAGGAGTCCAGACTTCTACTGCAACTCAAAAAGTACTGTTGGTTGCTCAAGCACTCGGGGACATTGCTTTCGCCTATCCGTTCTCCATAATTCTCATTGACATACAGGTGTGTGGTGAAATGTATTTAATATAAGCAAACTTCATTTCAAATTAGCATTGAAGAATGATTTTACCATTTAAAGCTAATTATGGAACTTGCAAAACATGAAGAATACTTTGAAGTCACCTCCCTCGGAAAAAGTTACCATGAATAATGCTTCAATGATGGCGACCTGTATGACAACCATTTTCTACCTCCTTTGTGGAGGATTTGGCTATGCAGCCTTTGGGAATTCTGCACCGGGAAACCTCTTGACGGGATTTGGATTCTACGAGCCATATTGGCTCATTGACTTTGCTAATATGTGTGTTGCAGTTCATTTAGTCGGAGCATATCAGGTACAACTCCTATATTCTGCATTTGTTACACCCAAAATTTTACATTCTATAGTTCATATGTGTCTATTTAGTTGGAGCAAATCAGGTTGTGTTTTCATTTTCAGGTTCAACTCTTTTGACAAAAATTTGTCTTAAAGCAATCCACATTTTAGGAAACATCAAAAAGTTGTGTTTGAATTTTTGAAAATTGCTTTCGCACAAAAATGAAAACATTATGAAAGATGAGTATTTTTGAACTTTCATTGTTTTTGTTTCCGAAAACATAAAAGATGGAAGTGATTACAATGAAAACATAATCAACCAAACCTTCAACTAAAATTTTGAATTTAGATAATTTTCGCATGTGAAATTTTTAATGTTTTTCAGGTACTCAGTCAACCACTGTTTGCAATGGTGGAAAGATGGGCTGCAGAGAAGTTCCCAAGCAGTGGATTTGTAAACGATAATTTCATCCTGAAACTCCCATTATTGCCGGCTTTTAGATCAAATCTATTCAGACTGTGTTTTCGAACTGTTTATGTTGCTTCAACAACCGTGGTTGCAGTTATCTTCCCATACTTCAACCAAGTGCTTGGAGTGGCGGGAACAATGAACTTTTGGCCGTTGATTGTATATTTCCCGGTGGAAATGTACATTGTGCAGAAAAATATCGGAAGGTGGACAAGAAAGTGGATTGTTCTTCATATTTACAGCAGTATTTGCTTGCTAGTGACAATGTTCGCCTTGGTTGGATCAATTGAAGGACTAATAACTACAAAGTTCAGCTAAGACATGTTTCGTGTTCTTGAACACCACAAGAGGAGAATTCTCAGCATTGTAAATTATTCTTCATTGTAAATTGTTGCTAAATGCCTTCCCTGTATTTCTTTGGATATAGTTTATAAATATATTTTGCATATTGCATGAGCAATGCATGGTGAACGATGGGTGGTTGTTAGAGACCAACAGGATTTAGTTTTTGCCCGATGAAAAAAAGTTGAAGGGGACAACTCGTGCCAACACTCTTTTGGGCATAATCATAGGAGTCCCTACTTGCAGGAGAGTCAGACAAGAGATGTCTATACCAACAATTATTGCTGTAATGGTGCATAACTTTGGAGCATCACACATAACATTATCATTTTATGTACTTCAAAAAATATTTTTACAATATAAATCATGAGCTGTAAGCATAAGGATCAATATATCATCAATTTATTTTACAGCTGTAATTGTCCATAACTTTGGAGCATCACACATAGCATTATCATTTTATGTACTTCAAAAAATATTTTTACAATATAAATCATGAGCTGTAAGCATAAGGCGCACCAAAATACTGACACAACTTTAAAATGAAAAATGGTACAAGTGGCTCCATAAGATGCACTACATAGCTCCAAAATTGTGTTTCTAATGTCATTACAAATTGCATTTGTAGGTGATGGAATGGTGGAAGTTGATTTTTTTTTCCTCTGTTATTTATTTTCTCTTTGGTTGAAGTCCGGTTAGTAGAGATGCAATCTTAATCAGGATCAATTCAGATTGACAAAGTTACAAATTCAAGAAATGGTATATGAACGAGCAAGGTTAAAAGAGAGTAAATCACATTAATAAAAAGGTTGAAAGAAGATTTTATGCAACTAAATTTGTTTTGGATGTAAAATAAAGGAAAATCAGGAAGCAATAAACACTCTTAAGGGGGGGTGCCCTTAAAGAACCCATTAGCAGAATTCACTATAAAGGTTGTTTCAAACTTTCAAACTGAATATTATAATAGGAGCAAATTAAGCTTATAATCCTTATATTTTATCCTCCGTGTCATTTTAGTTCCTATATTTTCAAATGGCTCATTTTTTACTCCAAATTTTAAATTTGTTTCATCTTAGTCGAATTGATAAAGCTAATTTATTTTTTTCACGGAAGTGGCGCACACGCACAACATGTGCCATGTTTGTAAGCTCTTTTTTAAAAAAAAAAATAAAAAATTTATACATATAATTTTTTTAGAAGTTATGTTTGTAAGGTTAAAATTGTCAGTTTACAATAATTCTATCTGAGTAGTGAGTTAACTCACTTAAATAACAAGTATAATAATAAATTTTCATATCTATGTAATGATCATTGCTTGGTGCTCTACGTGTGCTGTTAAGTATTCCACGTATTACTCCTGAGATATAAAATAGTAGAACTCACGTTATATTAGAAAATAATTTAAGAATTAATTACTAAAAATTCTTAATTATGGTAACTCAAGTCTTGTGTAATAGTTTTTGAATGCGTAAGTCTCATTTTGAAATATAGTTGATGTTCCTTTTCTTTTGATGGATCATGTCAACTTGCAAGTCGAATGACGATCAATTAACAAACTTAGAAGTAATATGTAACAAAATCAAACTGAATAGTGAAATCCAAACATATCAAATTTGAGAATATTGGATTTGAGATTTGGAGATTTGGTTTTTTTTTTTTTTTTTATCAGCAAAAATCAATAGTTAATTACTAGATTAGCACCTTACTAGATTAGCACCTTGGGGAAGTTAAAACTCACGCCCTTCCACTTTTTAAGAAAATCTTGTCCTCCAATTCCACTCCTAGGAATAGAACCCTTCCCTCGGGGGAGAGACTTGGTGGCCAAAGGGCTAACCAACTAGGCTAAAGCCCCTTGGTTATCTCGAGATCTGATTTGTAGGTAAGAATTGACATATTCTCACTTATAAAACTAAAAATGATTTCAATTTACAATTATTAAAACTAAAAAATTTCACAGTTTTTCAGTATTAACTAAGAAAATTTATCAGTTTTGAGAAATTTATCAATTTTTTTTCAATATTAAAATTGAGAACATTACCAGTTACTCTTTCTTTCTCTTACACCCACACCTTTCTCCTCTTTCTACACTTTTCTACATCTAGAAATCTCCAGATTTGGTTCGAGATCAACATGGCTAGGTCACGATGAGGAGAGGCGATGATGGCAATAGCGATGGCGACGACGAACAGGGGGTAACTGCAACGGGGAGAGGCGGTGATGGCTACGGCGTGCAAAGGGCGACTGCAATGGGCGACGACATGGCTAGGTCACGATGTAACAAGGGGTGACACGCAAAGAGAGGGAAAAGAAGGTGGTGAGGGGCGACTGAGGGAGGTCGATGTTGGAGAGGGAAATCGACGGTGGGGTTTAGCATCAAAGGTAGCTCGTCATTTGAGAGGGCAAGAGAGAGGAAATAAATGAGAGGGCAAAAGTGTGTGTGTGTGTGTGTGTGTGAGAGAGAGAGAGAATGAATGGGGGTGTTTTGTGTTTTTGATTTTGTAAGGATATACTAGTCATATAAAATTAGCAAGGATTTATAAATTAAAAGTTTTGTGAGTATGATCTAATATCATTATTTGTCAAAATAAGGCATGACTATAAATTTTTCAAAATTTAGACACCGATATAAGTCTGCTTAAATCTGATAGTCACAGATTTATAGGTGTGGTTAATTTCAATCATTCTAACTAGAAAAATGCATTTAGAGAAAGCTAAAAGCGGTGACACATAGTGTGTTTAGTTTGAATTTTTTAGATTAAGTTTTTTTGAAAATTAAGTTTTTTTAGTTTTCGTATTTTTTTGTTTTTAGTGAATATTTTAAAATTTTAAATATTTTTTTGATTTTTTTAGATGCACCTTATTTAGGTGTATCTAAAAAGTAAAAAAACTGTGAAAAAATATTTTAAAAAATTAATAAATACATAGAAATACAAAAAAATACTGAATTCTTGTATTTTTTTATATTTTTGGTATTTAATGAATTTTTAAAAGATCTTTTTTGAGATTTTTATTGATAAGTCCAATTTAGAAGTGTTTTGAAGTCCATAAAGAAATTTTTTAACCCATTTAGTCCCATGTATGTATAGTTTTATTCCATAAAGTCCATTTTCTTGATTTACACTATTTTCTTGGACACTTATGCCCTTATATTTAATTTTGATACCCTTATAAATATTTTTTCAACGATTAGCAATTTAATGATGTGAACATTCATATTTTAAAATTCACATCTGTAAGAATGTAAATTGACCCAGGGACGGCCCGAAACCCGCCCGCGAGCCAGGGCGGGCCCGGCCCGTTGATAATGTGAATATTCACATTGACATGTTAAAATTCACATTAATAGGAGTGTAAAATTGGCCACCGTCCCGTGGCGGCGCGAAACCCGACCGCGGCACATGGACGGCCCGGGGCGGGTTCGGTCCGGCTCGTTGACAATGTGAATATTCACATTGACATGTTAACCTTCACATTGATAGGAGTGTAAAATTAGCCCGCGCCTCATAGTTGCTCGAAACCCGCCCACGGCCTGTGGGGGGGCCCGGCCCGGCCTGTTGACAATGTGAATGTTCACATTGACATGTTAACATTCACATTGATAAGAGTATAAAACTAGACAGAGCCTAGGGCGGGCCCCACTCAGCCAGACCCGGCCCATTGACAATGTGAATATTCACATCGACATGTTAACATTCACATTGATAAGAGTATAAAACTAGACAGCAACCCAGGGCGGGCCCGACTCGGCCCGGCCCGGCCCCGCCCGTTGACAATGTGAATATTCACATTGACATGTTAACATTCACATTGATAAGAGTATAAAACTAGACAGCAACCCAGGGCGGGCCCGACTCGGCCCGGCCCGGCCCCGCCCGTTGACAATGTGAATATTCACATTGACATGTTAACATTCACATTGATAAGAGTATAAAACTAGACAGCAACCCAGGGCGGGCCCGACTCGGCCCGGCCCGGCCCCGCCCGTTGACAATGTGAATATTCACATTGACATGTTAACATTCACATTGATAAGAGTATAAAACTAGACAGCAACCCAGGGCGGGCCCGACTCGGCCCGGCCCGGCCCCGCCCGTTGACAATGTGAATATTCACATTGACATGTTAACATTCACATTGATAAGAGTATAAAACTAGACAGCAACCCAGGGCGGGCCCGACTCGGCCCGGCCCGGCCCCGCCCGTTGACAATGTGAATATTCACATTGACATGTTAACATTCACATTGATAAGAGTATAAAACTAGACAGCAACCCAGGGCGGGCCCGACTCGGCCCGGCCCGGCCCCGCCCGTTGACAATGTGAATATTCACATTGACATGTTAACATTCACATTGATAAGAGTATAAAACTAGACAGCAACCCAGGGCGGGCCCGACTCGGCCCGGCCCGGCCCCGCCCGTTGACAATGTGAATATTCACATTGACATGTTAACATTCACATTGATAAGAGTATAAAACTAGACAGCAACCCAGGGCGGGCCCGACTCGGCCCGGCCCGGCCCCGCCCGTTGACAATGTGAATATTCACATTGACATGTTAACATTCACATTGATAAGAGTATAAAACTAGACAGCAACCCAGGGCGGGCCCGACTCGGCCCGGCCCGGCCCCGCCCGTTGACAATGTGAATATTCACATTGACATGTTAACATTCACATTGATAAGAGTATAAAATTG